ACTACACAGCAAGCTTGATATTCTCATGCGAACCAACCAGTGGCTGGTCGACGAAATCATAGTAAGATGTGAGGTCACTTGAAGAGGTACTCGTCTGTGTCGGGGTGTATGTAATCTCCAAGGCACAACGAGGGGACATCCGTAACTTGACGGACCAATGCGATGAGCTGCGGAAGACTGTCAACTCCCTGGGTTTCCGAGATAGCAAGCCTACGAGCAGCGTAAGCATCTCTTCTGGACTTAGCCGTCAGCACTGTGCGCTCATACAGTAGGATCAGGTCCACGCCAGTCGTCATCAAGTGGCTGTCGGCACTCAGTGCGATGATCTCCCCACTGAGGAAGAGAAGGCGTTGCGCAGCGAACTCCTTCAGGCTAAGCTTGAGCTCAACGAGAAGGAGAGACTCGAGACCAGACGACGACCTCATACAGTGGGATAGGACGCCCTTGGGCAACTGCAGACACCGGTTAATCACAGGTTTGCAGGGACGTCGGCGCCCAAACGATGGAGAGAATAACACCCAACAACCGCATCGTGCTCTCTGACGATGTTATGTGGTGGACCCCGGGGGGCCTCTACAAGGTCGGCAAGTACAGCGTCACTTCGACGACCTGGCCTGCAGGGCCCGACAAGGCTGCTGCTACTTACGGCTATAATGCCCAGACTCCATCTAGCTTCTACGATTCTACTTGTCTACCAACCACTGAAGGCAGTTTTGGTGGCTATCAATACGGAGCCGGGGTTGACGATGACGGCGCTCCCTATTGGGAGTCAGCGCAGGGAGAATACGAATTCGCCGAGAAGGATTCCTTCCTGTGTGGAACTATCGCTCAACAGTATATTCCTCAACTCAATCATCAGTAGCTGCTCCATCGGGACTTAGTTTTTACTGAAGCTTCTACCACCATTGCCGAATTCAGTGTTGTCAATTTTCGGATGATAACGTGCGATTGCTCAGAAGTAACGGCAATACCATGAGCACCGCTGAGAGCGCAGTGAATGGCAGTGCTGTCGAGACTGCCCAAAGAACATCACCAGCGCGTGATGATGCAACGGAGAACTCGCTTGGCAATAGCTTGACAGTCAGTGGTCCTGGCAAAGGTCCTGCATCGGAACCAACAACTGAGCCTGGTAAGGAACGCTGCAGAGGAAAAAGAAAAGTGGTCGACCAACCCTCAGCACGGTCAGAGACGGAGAATGCCGGAGACCCGCAATGCATGAGCAGAGCGGGCAATTGTGACGAGCGAATTGATGGAGCTGAGCGCGAGTGCGCGAACATGGAGCTGGACGGTTGGAGTAGGTCTACGTGCGTAAGCCGGCGGCGGCGGCTATGGATCCTATCGGTCTCAGCCACTCTCGACTTCGGCAACCAGATGACTGAGCTAATCGTCATCGAGGCTGTGAAGGAGTAGAGGTTGTCTTGATGTCGTCATAGACGAGCTTCGCTAAGCTAGATACTTGGCACATCATGGCTTGATAGAGACACTCGACATCTTTACTCGAGAAAGCAAGGCCTTGAGAGTGCGGGAGAGTGGGACACTATCAGGTATCCGCACGGAGATTTTATTGTATTCCTATGGGCTTGGAGCAGGAAGGAACGGGGGATCGACTGAGCTACCGCATGAGCCCGGCGGACGAGGGCTTCTTGCTGCCTTCGACAAAGGCGACCAATCAACGTTCTTCCTATTGTGGCAATCGTCTATACCGCAAACAGTCGGTACGCTCTGGGAAGTTCCTCAGCATCTTCGCTACAGATTCGAGCGAAGAAGTCCCTGTTGGAGTTCCGGCTCCGAGTCTACTTCTTCTCGAAGACATGCTTGGATGCCACCAAGGGTCGCCGCCCTATATCCAGAATCAACCGGTAGCTTTCAACCGGACCACACCAGGCGATGGATTCATCAGGTCCCAGGCGGACCATGACTGGAGTGCCTATACGGCCTTCCTCGGGAAGCAAAGGCGACTCTCCAGCGACAGCTTGAGCGAACTCATGCCCTACTATGTGCTGCCTTATATCGACGCGCCGCACACGCACGAGCTGACCCAG